GATGGGATCCCCACCCTCTTTTCCCATCTCTTCAATAGTTGAGGCGTAAGAGAAAAGGATCTTCTTCTCAACCTATATCCTATTCGAGTGGTGTAATGCAAAATATTATTTCTCCTTTCTGTTCCCACAGTGCCACTTGTGATCTTCCATGCCCATTCACTCGGATCGACTTCCAGATCTTCCAATGGAGTATTTGGGCAGAAAACTGTGAATTTGTCCGTTTCAACTACCATACCTTACGCAATTGACTTTTGAGTACTTTGGAGTTCTTGTCAAGTAAAGAGGTAGTGGTCCCTTGATTCATGACAATATATTGTCTGCCTGAAGCCATTCTGGTGTTGCAGGCTCCTTATCCCATATCCTGAAGACTTCTATTGGATCAATGTCATCTTGCCATGTGGCCCAGTCCCCTAGCCCCCACTGTGGTCCTTTTCTCAGAAGATCCCCCCACCTTTATGGGATGGCTCTTAGGACTATTTCTAAATTTTCTGCCAGGCTGTGACAACCCTTTAATTGCCCCCTTAGCTCTTTAGCTGTTTTCCACCTATTTCCGGAGGCTTCCCACAGATGTTTAACCTGCCAGACCCCACGCTCTAGCCACCTACCCCATTTTGTGTCTTTATTTGAGTGTCAGTGGTTTCCCCTGCGCATCCCTAATACTTGAGTTACAAACAACGACTGTCTCAAAACTCCTTCTCTTGTATGAGGCTCGCTGACCCTTGCCGGGAAAATTTCCTTCCTTAGTTTCATTAGTTGACCCCAATATGATGTCTTCCTTACTCCTTCCTCATTGCCACCCCTGTCATTAACTTCTATAGCCCCCTTCGCCCATGTGCTGCACATGACCCAGAACTGGCCCGACATATTCGATGGGGTTCTATATTTAGCCAATTTCCTAATCTGATAGAGCGCTAAGGACGTCCACGGCAAGTTATGCTGGGTGATTAACTTAATTACCCATTTGGTTTGGAGTGCTTTAAGTTGGTGATCCGGGTCTAAAATCCCCAGTCCTCCCTGCTGCTTCGGTCTAGTGACATGCTTCCATGCCACCTTGGAAATGAAGTGTACAGACATTGCATTAGATGTCCATAAGTAGGCCGCTGCCCTTTTTCTTAGCAATGTTAACTTTTTTTTTTTTTTTTTTTTTTTTTTTTCCAAAAAAAAAAACAAGCTCCGTCTATTGGCGGGGAGCAGCACCTGCTGGAAACCGGGTCCACCGTCCCATAGAGACAACCATATCCTCACAAATTGGCACAAACTGGGAATCGGGCCCAGCGTCCCATAACAAGAACGTTCTGAAGCTTCATCAGAGAATTTCATGAGAATGAGACCAGGAACTACTAGAAAATCTGATTGGCCTAAGGATGGAATTTTGGGGCATAAGATGCCGGGGCCATTACCCGGCTTTGGCTCAAAGAAATTAGAGCTACTTCAGACATGTCTATGACAACTTCATGATTAAGCAAAATTCCGAAACGACTCGGAAAACCCCCCATCAATCCACTTTACCTCACTCTGGCAAGACTGACTGCAGCGGGGCCACCATCTCTGCTGCTGCTATGCCATACTCCCATCCTACGAGCTTCCCCCCTCACTGGTAGGACGCGTGATAACCCACCCTCTTCTCCAGCTCACCTAACTCTTACTGTTGCATACCGTATAGGTGCAGACCAGAACAAGAACCGACCTTTCAATACAAAGTATAAGATAGCACAGCGGAAGACTTAGATACCAGT